TGGCTTATTTAGTATAATGTGTGCTGGATAAAATAAATGCAAAAACTGCTAAGGTCAATAGTATTTAACTATTACATTCTGATTGGCTACAGAACAAGCCACCGTTGTCCACTGATTTGCCTAATTACCCTAATATGCCTAGTTAACCTAATTAACCTAGTTAAGCCTAAAATATTATGTATAATTATGGCAAAGACAAAAGAAATGAGTTATTAAAATATTATGTTAAAGAAATCACTATTAATTAATTAAACAACACTATTTGTAAGAGAATAAAAAAAAAACATCCACAACAATAGACAAAAACAATTTCGTGCTTTGGTCATTATCATTTTAGGTGGAGATTGGAAAGTCGGTCAAAGCGTATGTCCGTGTGTTGGATGGCAACAAGAAGCCTTTCCTCTCCAAATATTTCTCCGTCATGAACCTGAAGCTGAGGGCAGCGTCCTCCATTATATCTCTGCAGTGAGTGACCAACTCTAGACATCTAGTTTGATGATCTGCTGTTTATGAGAGCTAAAAAGCGTTATTGTTTTTTTTATCAGAACCCTGCCTGATTCATCAGAGGAGGATACGGCCACGTTTCTGGTCAAAGGATTGGTGATCGGACAGACCAGCGTGTCTGCTTTCATCATAGACAAAAACGGCAGAAAAATCACCTCTGCACCACAGCAAATAGAGGTGAGTCTCTTATGCTGCGTTCACACCAGACGCGGAACGGGCGTCAATCGCGAGTGATTTACATGTTAAGTCAACGCAAACATGCGAATAGACATCCTGCGGCGCGAATTGCGGGGCGTGAATGATGCGAATTGCGTGAATGGCGTGGTGCGAATTGAGCGTTTTGCGCATTTGACGCGCTTAAAGTGCGTTTCGCGCGAATCTCTCGAGTTCGAAAATCTGAACTTCAGCGGACATTTGCGCCGCGTTAACCAATCAGAAGTTTGCTCTTGTGGGGGCGTGATTGTGACGTAACACCTGTTGATGGTGTCCCAGGGGAAATCCTCCAGGCGACACCGACAACAAGTCATCAAACTGGGCTTGGCTCAGTCAGAAGCACCGTTGAAAGCCTCCGTGATCCAGGTTCAGTTTCTGGAGGAGTTTATGAGCTGGATTTGACGTGCGAATGAAGCGGGGTTTGACGTGCGAGTAAACTCAAATGTTCACGCGGCAATTTTCGCACGAATGACGTGATTTATCCGCGCGTTCCGCATCTGGTTTGAACACAGCATTCCCTGGCATGGCTTTGATTATAGTGTATGTAGAAAATGGATTCTTCAACTCACAGAATATTGGATATTGACAGCTGACAAACAGCAGATGATTAGTTGATGCAAATGAACACATATATATTGGTATATTGAATAAACTGAGATGCTAGATTGCATACTTAGACCTTGATCACACCGAACATGATTTTTGTGATAAGAGGCGCCTCTTTGGAATAGTTTTCTAATAGCCGTGAGTGTTTTGTGCAGTGCTTATGTGCGTCTGCTGTGCCTTGCCTTTTTACAGTTGCGCTCTGCCTGTTTGCAGTTATAAAAAGGTCAATTCTGAGCAGGAGAAGCACGCTGTGTCGGCACTTTTTTTCATTGACCAGTTAAATTAAAGCAGAGACGGGGTTTCTGTTGAGGTGACAGCTGTGTTTGTGTTGTCAAGAAAACTATGGAGTCTTTTAATGATTTAAAGAGACTAGTTATCACTGATTCGAGTTGTCTGAATCTGCATGACTTCACTAACTGTGAACATCACAATAATATTAAATATTACACTTTAGGGTTCGGTCGATAGACAATGCCATTGTCCATCGCTGTTGGCCGATAGACATTACGATGCTGAGCCGTCAACGCGATCCTCCGCCCCGGCCCCGTCGCAGCAACTGCTCGCAAAAATACACAGCGAGGCCCCATTTACACTATGACATCTTACATTTAAAATGGAATTTTAGAACGAAAACAATCCACGTCCACACTGGAGTTTCATCTCGCATTTCTGAAAAGCCCTCCTTCCACACTATACCGTTGAAAATGCACATCATGTGACCACACACACACACAGGCATGCACTGCAGCATATGCGCAAATCTGAGCTTCAGGCAGTCAGCGGGTGCTTTGAGCACAAAACCTCAGAGAGTAGTGTACGTCGAACAGTTATTCAAGGATGTACCGCTGGATCGCATCTCACTATAGTTGTTAAACGTGATATTTAATTACTCTTGTCTCTGTCTAACGACCCTTCGGTCTTTTGAATCTATCAGGTAACGTGTCACAGCGTCAGTACACTGCTTCAATCTTTCGCTTTCACGCTTGTACTTAGTAATTTTAGCGAAAACCTTAGATGCTGTTGGTTGGTTCATGTTGGTTGTGCACTTTTTTGTACCAACCTAATTTGTCGACGCCATTATAATGACTCAGATCACTCTGCCTATTCATGCCAGAGTCCCGCAGAAAAAGTGATTGACAGGTGGTCATTTTTGTGTAACTTTATTTATGATTTGGTTATGGATAAACCAAAACCATGCGGTCTATTCATAAATAATTAATTCACCGCCGACTTCGACAATGCCATTGTCCATCGCGATGTTTTACATTAGACATCTTACGATGCCAAATTGGTCGACATCGCCCAACCCTATTACAACTATAACAATTATCAACTGCAACACTTGCACACCATATGCAGCTGATTCAGTGTTTGCCAGGCAACATAAAAAGTGCACCACACTTCTTTTCTTGTCAACAAAATAAAGCAGTGTGGTACCCTTTGTGTTTTCAGAACGGATAATGGCGTTCTGTGTGATTGGTCTCTTAGTATGCCTATCGTAGATTGAGCAAATGGAAACAATCCCTGTTACCTCACACTCATGAAATCAAATATTAGAGGGGCAGTTGTGACCTAGCGGTTAAGGAGTTGTAATTGTATTAGAAACATTGCAGGTTTTTTTCCCGGTCATGGCAGGAATTGAAAATAGGGAGTGAATGGACCAAACTCTCTACATCTTCAGTACCCAGGTGGGATGCCCTTGAGCAAAACATCTCGCCCCTAATTGCTTACCGGGTGCTGGAAGCAATAGCTGCCCTTTGCTCTGAGTCATTAGAAAAAACAACACGATGCACCAGAGCAAGGAAAATAACACTCAAGTCGACAGTCGGCCGTTGGACTGTTGGTCAGGCTAGTGGCTTTCCACTCGCCATGTTAACGTCGTATTGCGTTGGCCCAATTCAGCATGTCGAATTGGTAATTTGTCATTCATTATGTCGGACAGTTAATCCAGCCAATAGCAGCATGAATACAGAAGGAGAGAAATGAAAGTAAAACACCCAACACTGTACTTGTATGAAATCATGCAGTTAGTGTTATTACTGGACTAGGAAAAACTGTATTTGTCTGTAAAGTGTTACAAAAATTAGACATTTTATACAATAAATATTTATATTTTTGATGGTAGAGATAAAAAAGTAATGGAGTAAAATGTGATTATAAATAATCGACGCAAAGAATTTCCTTCTGAAAAGTCTATTGAGAAGATTTTTTGAGTGTGTTTTTGTGATCTACAGGTGTTTCCTCCGTTCAGGCTGCTGCCAAGGAAAGTCACTGTAATAGTCGGAGCAATGATGCAGGTAAACTCTTTTCAGATTGATCCAGTTTACTCCAGTACACACAAAAAACTCAAGCAAATGCTGCAGTGTAGAGAAGCAGAATTATGACAGAGACATGGGCATCTGTTCTGTGTGTAAATGTAAATAGTTCTTCTTTATTGCAGATGTATTTATGTTGAGGATTTATTTGCACGTTTTTACACAAAAGCAAAGTAATCAGATTTTGGTCCCACTTTATATTGTGGCCTTAACTAATATGTACTTACACAGGAATTAATAGTTTGCTATAATGTCTTATAGTATAAATACATGTATTTACTGTGTACTTATGCTTGATTAAATACATGTATGTAATTACATCTGTAATTAACTTTTGTAATTAGATTTGTAAATACACTGTTGACCATCCCCACACCTTAACCCACCCTTAAACCTGCCCACACCACTAAACCTGTTCATAACCCAACCTCTATCCCAACTCAAAAGCACCACAAGTGTTCTCAAATACATCAAAAACACAGTCAGTACATTATATTTATTTTTTGATGTAAGTACATAGTAGTTAAGGACACTTAATATAAAGTGGTACCCAGATTTTATTACATAAAATCAGAATATTTTTTTTACATCATACGCCTTACGATTTTTTCCTCTCTACTAATGTGTTGTCCTCCATTGCCTGAATGGATTCGTTGAATTAGTTGAACCTTAAATGAAATTTACAACAACAACACAAATGAATGTATCACAGCATACATCTCAGGTTGTCAATAGTATAACAACCCAATTATCAGGCGCTATGTAGAGATACTGTCAGGCATGTGTCAGCATTGTGTTTACAAAGAGCTAGTGTTTTTCAGCCAACCGGTGAAAGCTTTATGGGATTATTTTTAATTTTACCTTTTACAGATTCGATGTTGTAATGTAATTAAAATACAACCAGTTCAGCAGACTTAAGCATTCATTTCGTTGTTCAAGCACAAAACGAGATGAAAGACCATGTAAATACAGAAACTCTATTCAAAATACTGGGGTAAAATAAATTTCCATATTTTAAAGACATAGTGTGGAAAAATGGAGATTAAAGCAGTGCTTCTTGTCCAGTTTAAGACCCTCTTTATATCGTAGATCAATCAGGTAGTAAAGATCACTGATTTTTAAATAAATCAGACCTTAAACGTAGCAATTTTGTAATGACGCAACAGTTCACCAGAAGCACTTGATCTGGCTGACTGAAAATCAGAAGTTTGTGTGTGTATAGCCCATTGTTAATCAATGATTATGATTCATATGATCCTTGCATTTCAGTTTTGGATTTTGTCCTGCATCAGTTCTGAACAAATCTTAATCAAGATAAAGCGATTATTGCACCATATCCCGCCATGTGTAGACTACTCTTAGTTCTGTTGGTAAAGTATACATGAATCCAAACTAACTATATGATTCTGTTAGCGCACATTGCTAGTTTTGTGGTGAACAATTCATCTGTGCGAGCGTCATCAAGAAAAAAAAAAAGTTTGCCCATGCAATCTAAAATTAAAATCTGAAAATGCACTTCCTGTTTGTTTTCAGATAAATTCTCAGATTAGGTCTTAACATACTTAACCATGCCCCTCCAGGGGTCCGTTCTTCGTACGTGGATTACTCAGTTAGCTGGATTTGGATATTGACGATTTGACACGATCCAGGATCGTTTCGGTCTTCAAAACTGATCTGAGAGTTGTTGTCATAGCAACAGTTCTGGTAGATCAAACCTGGTCGGAAGCAGGCTCAATTCTTATAAACAGGATTAGATCGACTCAGTTCAAGCAAAGATAATACAAAATGTATGTACCGAATTCTAATGTTTTCTTACAGTAGTAGTTATATACACTTGGGAAAATAGTAAATATTTTTAAACTATACATATATAAAGTTTTAGTTATTAATAAAATAAAGTTTTATATTAATAAAACGTATGCAATCTGCACCCTCGATATGAAAGTACAAAGACTGCCACCTGGTGGTGCAAAAAGAAAACTCATTGATATGAAATTTTTAGATCGCTTTAGTACAATTTGTGTATGATAATATACATGCACAATATGTGACTATTCAAAAGCAATAATACATTTATGCAGTTATAAACATGTTTTGACAGTTAATATGACGGTGATTTGATGCTTCACAAAAGTTGCAGACACTTTTACCAATATCAAAATGCATCCAGTTGTTCTTTACACCGATTAAAAAAAACGGCTACTATAATACTACTATGGCTACTATAATAAGGAAAATCCGCTCTAACTGTTAAACTAAATGAATTGCTCTTGACACATGAAAGGGGCATGCAGCCCACAACAAGGTGTAAAGTTATTACGTATAATATTTAACAAACCGTTTCCTATGAATTTGATGTAATTTTGCTCACATGGATAATTGAATATTAATCAGATGATGTCATTACGCTGCTGTGCCGTCAGCCAATCGTTGCATTTCTGATCATGATTTCGAGGATCGATAGATCTGTCCTTCACAACACACGCAGCGATCTCAGATCAGTTCATCCAGACATTCTAATCTGATTCGCGAACTTGTTTGAAGAACCAAATTAGCGAGAGATCAGTTATCGAGATGAAAAGATCCAGGATCTGCCAAATCATCTTAGATCATTAAAGCGAGGTACGAAGAACGAACTCCAGCTGTCAGTTTTGACAACAAACAGAAATATTGAGCTGGAGTTGTCCTAACATCCTTTTCCTGGTCTTTTTGAATGAAATGCCTACTTTACTACAGCTAATCAGCTCACAGTAGAAAAAACAAGCCACACCCACTGTTTTCTCATATATTCTGTTTTGCTAGGAATGTCACGATATGAAAATTAAAAAAAGCTGTCGCAGCTTCCGGTTCATGTGGACTTTACATGAGTTTTGTGGTTGATTTAAATGTGCTGTGTGAGAACACCTGTCCTGTCTGAATCAATGGCTGTTGTTGATTTTATTTTATTTTATTAGATCACATCAGAAGGAGGACCTCAGCCGCAGTCCAACATCCTCTTCTCTCTGTCCCATCAACACATCGCCTCCGTCAACAGCTTGGGGCACGTTCAAGGTCTGGCAGTGGGCAATATGACCGTAACCGGCGTGGTCCAGGCGGTCGACACTGAGACGGGCAAACTAGTGGTAGTGTCAAAGGTGATGCTCTGAGAAATCTGATCAAATGTGTGGGGAGTGTGTTGTTTGCAGGATTCCTGCTGTCATGGAAATTCTTTTGGTAACACTTTACAATAAGGTTCATTGGTTATTGCATTTACTAACATGAACTAATCATGAACAACACATGTACAGCATTTATTAATCATAATTGAACATTTACTAATGCATTATTAACATCCAAGTCCATGCTTGTTAACATTAGTTAATGCACCATGAGTTAACAAGAACTAAGAATGAACTACTGTATTTTCATTAACTAACGTTAACTAACATGAACAAATACAGTAGTAAATGTATTGTTCATTGTTTGTTCATTTATGTAAATGCATTAATTAACATTAACTAATGAACCTTATTGTGAAGTGTGACCGCTTTTTTAATTATCGTTGTCGCAATAAATACCAGAAAATATAATTTTCGATATCGCCTAATGTCGAGCTACACCATGGGTCATCAAACTTGTTTGTTGTGTCCTGCAGATTTTAGTTCCAACCCTAATGAAACACACCTGAACAAGCTAATCAAGGTCTTACTAGGTAAACTTGAAACATCCAGGCAGGTTTGTTGAGGCACGTTGGAGCTAAACCCTGAAGGGACACCGGCCCTCCAGGGCCGAGATTGGTGACCCCTGAACTACACCTTAAGTTATCGCAAACCACATGAGCACCTTCTAGGCACAGATATGTTATCAAATATAAAACCATGAACTGTGTCTTGGCGGGAAAACCGTGTCTTCTGCGGGAAATATGTGGAAATTAAAAATATTTTGTGCCATTTGCTTGACTTTTGCATTTAACTCAGCCTGTGTTTATATATTGTGTTTGACAGGATCAAGTTGATGTTGAGGTGGTGCAACTGAAAGCCATCCGAATCAGAGCTCCGATCACCAGGATGAAGACGGGAACGCTGGTAAACTCACATTATGGTTCACGCAGGTATTGAAATACAGTGTTTGAGCCTGTCTGAAAGATGTGCTCTGTTTGCTGTAGATGCCGGTGTATGTGATGGGGCTGACCAGCAGTCAGACGCCGTTCGCTTTCGGGAACGCTCTGCCTGGACTGACCTTTCACTGGTCCGTGACTAAGAGAGACATTCTGGACGTTCACACACGCCACGCTGAGGTCAGGATTCAGCTCTTTGTGCCACACAGTCTGTCATTTCACTATATGTGCACTAATGGTAAAGGGATAGATCACTTAAAAATTAAAATTCTGTCATTTACTCATCCTTGTTCAAAACCTTAATGAGTTTTTTTCATTTGTTAAACACAAAAAAGATCAAAATAAATGGCTAGTTCACCCAAAAGTTATTCTGTCCAAAAAACAAAAATATTCTGTCATCATTTGCTCACCCTCCACTTGTTCCAAACCGGTCAATTTAGTTTTTTAAACACTAAAGAAAAGAATTTGACAAATCTGACAACCTTTTCCTTCTATGGATGTCCAACATGCTATAAAAATAAGTATCTCCTTTTGGGTTCAACAGAAGAAAGAAGCTCATAAAGGTTTGTAACAACCTGAGTGTGAGTACATTTTCATATTTATTCGAACTATCCCTTTAACCTCCTAATCTACAATTCATAATGTTTGATCACACTGTAATTATGTGATTGTCAAAACCGCTCATGCCCTCATACACCATTGTACCTGCCATCACATGCTGTCATCTGGAAAGCACAGTAATTACATTAGGATGTGAAAGCAGCAATAGTTTTCAATCACAGAGACCTGAAGGACCAAAACGCCCATGTGAATTGCAGCACAGGTCTGTCAAGTTTCCATTGTTTCAAGCCAACTGTATTCAAAAAAAAGAAATGTGATCAAATGGCTTGTTTTGGGCACTTGTGATATGTATACAACCCCTAAGTTTTGTTTATAGGACTAAAATAGGGTATGGATAGGGTTATTAGGCAATAAATTTATAACGATAGTTTGTTCTGTAGACTATCAAGAAAAAATATACAGTTGAAGTCAGAATTATTCGCCCCCTTTGAATTTTTTAATATAATATTTCCCAGATGATGTTTAACAGGGCAAGGAAATTTTCACAGTATGTTTGAAAATATTTTATCTTCTGGAGAAAGTCTTATTTGTTTTATTTCGGCTTGAATAAAAGTAGTTTTTAATTTTTTAAACACCATTTTAGGGATAAAATTATTTGCCCCTTTAAGCTAATTTCTTTTTTGATAGTCTACTGAACAAACCATCGTTATACAATAACTTGCCTAATTACACTAACCTGCCTAGTTAACCTAATTAACCTAGTTAAGCCTTTAAATGTCACTTTAAGCTGTATAGAAGTGTCTTGAAAAATATCTAGTCAAATATTATTTACTGTCATTATGGCAAAGAGAAAATAAAACGGCTATTAGAGATGAGTTATTAAAACTCTTATGAATAGAAATGTGTTGAAAAAATCTTCCCTCCCTTAAACAGAAATTGGAGAAAAAATTAAAAGGGGCAAATAATTCAGGGTGGCTAATAATTCTTCTGACTTCAACTATATTGTTTAAAGGGGCTAATCATTTTTACCTTTAAAATTTTTTGTTTTAAATTAAAAACTGCTTTTATTCTAGCCGAAATACAACCAATAAGGCCTTCTCCACAAGAAAAAATATTATCACAAATACTGTGAAAATTTCTTTGCTCTGTTGAACATAATTTGGGAATTATTGAAAAAAATAAATTCAAAAGGGGTTTAATAATTCTGAACTGTATGCTGTATAGTGCATATTATTGGCTGATATTTGGATTTTTGTTTTTTAATTCTGCATCTGCTGACAAGTCTTTCCATGTAATCAATGTTTCCAGTCCATCCTTCATCTTTAAGACAAGCCATTCAGTTGTGAATCCAGCAATTGACATACAGTATAATGACCAAGCGCCATTCACTTTCTAACGTGACCCTATGTTGTGTTGCATGCAGAAACACTTTGACATGCAGTAAAGTTTTTTTCTTTTTAAAATGCTGTTAGACATTAGATCCACAGTCCAGCGGCATCTCCAGTGGGAGACATGTGTTTACCTCTCAAAAAGTCCCAAAAAAGAGGTTGTTTTCCGGTGGATTCATAAAGCCAGTATATAAGCTAAGTCAACAATAATAATAATATATTTGAAAAAATTTCAATATGATTACTTAGGAATATCTGCTGAATTTAATTGTCCATAATTGACCCAACTATTGTGTTTAGTTTTAAAAAGTAGAGGGAATGGTTGAATCGGAGAACACAGGTTAAAATATTGATGCTAGGTAACAAAAATGTGTTTTTTTTCTAAAAGTAAGGCAGGCGTGTTCCCCCCGGTTGTTACACCCCTGGTTTAGTCTAGTAGGTCTAATTTAATGCAGTTTTTTGCTGATAGCAATGTAATTATACACCTTCAGGCTTGTGTTATTATAGCATATTGCTCTGTTAACTATGTGTATAAAAGTGTTTGCTCCTTACAGTTTTTACAGTTTTTTGCATGTTTTTTTTTTTACACTTTAATGTTTCAAATCATCAAACTAATTTGAATGTTAAGGAAAGATATCACAAGTAAACACATTGTGCAGTTTTGATGTGAAGGTTATTATTATAAAAGGAAAGTGAAAAACAAAACTGCATAGCCCTGTGTAAAAAAAGCCTAAAGCTAATAACTGGTTGGGCCACCCTTAGCAGCACCAATTACAAGCAAGCATTTTTGATCACTTGCAGTGAGTTTATTACAGCACTGTGGAGGAATTTTGTCCCACTCATCTTCGAAGAATTGTTGTAATTCAGCCACATTGGAGGATTTTTAAGCACCTTTTTAAGGTCTCAATTGGATTCAGGTCAGGACTTTGACTAGGCCACTCCAAATTCTTCATTTTCTTTTTCTTAAGCCAATGTTTTACTAATATTTAAATTAAATATTTAAATTTAAAACCTGCACACGAAAGGAAGAATTCATTAAGGGGGCAAACACTTTGTATTGTATGTAAAATATAAAATTTTTGAACTTTAATTATAAATGTTATCTTCAGTGAGCAGCAATATTTTAATTCTATGATTCTGTCATAGAAATATCAAATTAAACATAACAGTTTTTACTAAAATGCATTTAATCGGTTGTAATAAATATGTATGCATAATAAGTGTGCTTTTAGTTTTTTTTGCATGGCTCTTATTTTCTCTATGAATAATATCGGCCAGTTAGCCAGATTGATGTCTCAATATCAGCATCGGCCAATAAAAAGCCCACATAGGTCGACCTCTACAAGAAACACAAACAACTGTCATGTCTGTTATTTCATCATATTGAGATGATGCTGCCTGTGCTTCAGCGTGTGTTTCTCTCCTGCAGGCATCTGTACAGCTCAGTGCTGAGCACAACTTTGCCATGAGTGTGTTTGGTAGGAGTAAAGGGCGCACGGGCCTGAGGGTGGTGATGAAGGCCATCGTTCCTCTGTCTGGACATCTGGAGGACGATGCCCTCGAACTCCATGATGAGATACAGATTCAGGTACACTCCATTGTCATTTCAAGAGAACGCCACTTTGGCCCCGTTCACACCTGGTATATTGTGTGATGTGTTTTAACCTATCACAAGTAGACACTAAATACAGGTGTGAAATGTTAAGAGCTTGTCCACTTTCCACTGCATTCAGATGTAGTGGTTAAAAGCGTTTGATTTGGATTGTTAATTACAGCCTGCTCTTCTGCTGGACTCATTCATAAACCCAGCAGCTGGAGAAGATGATTTAACCCTTGTGTATTGTTCAAATTGACTACACTCCCCTTATGTTAGCGGCTGTTGTTGCCCCATTGACCTCCATTACAACAACTTTTTTGATTGCAAAGCCATGAAATCACGACGGTTGGCCGCTTTTTAGGGGTGTTTGTCCAGCTAGTTGGTTTGTTGTGTTCCTCACATTGGCTCCAGACTGTTTAAGGGCCAGGACACACCAAGACAATTGTCGGCATAATGTGTTCTCTCCTTTTAGTAGGCTACTGTCTATTTACTGCATAGATGTATACACTAGATATCGCATAGGGACCCTGAGCATGCGTCTATAGCGCCGCCACATTGGTACAGTGCTCCCAGGACAAATGTCATTCAACTGCACTAGTCAAGACAGTGTTATTACGTGAAAATGCTGGACTTTAGCGCTGTCTACGGGTGTAGTAACGAGCAAACAAAGAAAACAAAGCACAAAGGCAGAACATTTCATAGGTAAGATTTAGTTTTTTACGTTTTTGTGTGTTCTGAACTTTTGTGCTAAACAGGGAACGTTAGTGATGATAATACAGTCTTCTTACTGCATTCACCATTTGGCAAAGTAGCTCCAACTCGCACTAAACACTCGGCTTATGCTAGTTTTGTTGAATAAAATCAGCAAACAATGCAAAAGAAATATGACAACGAGATGCTGCGCTGCCAGAAACTTGTATTATTGTCGGCTAGTGAAGAAGTCGTTCAAAACGGAGATTCATTCATAAAGGAATCGCTCCCTCTGTCAGTATGAGAAGTGAAAGCAGGAGAGGAGGTGTGTTTCAGGACATGATTAGATCAAATTCAACAGGGACGGTTGATAGTACATTTCTGTACACACAAACACAAGCTTTTTATCAGTAATGCCAGTGCGATCACAATCCATCAATGTAGAAAAGTGAAGTAAAATTATAATTTTCGTAATAAAAAAAATTGCATACTAACATCCAGGAAAACTCCCGATCATAGATATATGTGTAAATCTCTGGCTTTGGATGGCCATAGTCCTCCACTGTACCTTGGTCCCGCATTCTTTTTAAAGGAGCGCTACCCTGTACCAAAATGGCGGCTCTATTGATGCATTCCTTCCAATATACAACAACAGGGTCGGCGACATCTAATGTATATATCTATGCATTTACTGTGTACACACACAGCTTTTTGGTCCCGACGCGAGCCGACAACACAGTTGGTTTATGTCAGCACTAGATGTTTGGCATCAGCTTGGTGTGTCCTGGATTTACACCACTGTGTTGTAGAACATTGGCTAAACGCTAACCGAGGTTGATTCCTACGTTTAATTTCAGGTTTATGAGAAGCTCCAGCTTTTGAACCCCGAACTTGAAGCTGAGCAGATACTGATGTCCCCAAACTCCCTGCTGAAACTCCAAACCAACAGGTACCACAGTAACAGCCTTAAAGGGAAAGTTCACCCAAAGCTGAACGTTCATCATTTACTACGTTTACTTTGTCTGTTGATCACAGATGTAGACATTTTGAAGTATCTTGGAAACCTTATTGACCTCTATAGTATTTGTTTTTCCTCCTGTGGAAGTCAGTGGTTTTAGGTTTCTAATATTTTTTTTAAATATATTTTATGTTCAACAAAAAAATAACAACCGTATAAAGGTTTGTAACTCCTTCGGTAAATGTTCATGTTTATATGAACTTTCCCTCTAAGGCCAGTTTAAACTTCTGCATAGTCTACGCACCTAACCAATAGCATCATGATCATTATTATTTCATTGCATTTTGCCATAGCTAGCTAGTTAGCTGTTGAGTTTTATTCTACTTGAAACAATGAAGACTAAAATTGAACAGATCATGTTGATGTTGGAGATGATCAGCTGGCGGTTAGCTCTCTAAAACTCTCACATGGTCACCCACTGAAGCTAAGAAGGGCTGCGCCCGATCAGTACCTGGATGGGAGACCACATAGGAAAGCTAGGATGCTGCCGGAAGTGGTGTTAGTGAGGCCAGCAGGGGGCGCCCAACCTGTGTCCTGTGTGTGTCCTAACGCCACAGTATAGTTACGGGGATTCTATACTGCTCTGAGCACTGTCTTTCAGATGAGATGTTAAACCGAGGTCGTTAAGATTCCCGGGATGTACTTCGAAAAAGAGTAGGGGTTTAGCCAAATCTGCCCACTGGCCTCTATCATTGCATCCTAACCAACCAACCATGTCTCTAGCTGGTGTGTGCAATATGGCTGCCGTTGCGTCATCCAGGTGGATGCTGCACACTGGTGGTGGATAAGGAGATTCCCCCCCAAAAATGTGTAAAGCGCTTTGAGTGTCTAGAAAAGTGCTAAATAAATGTAAGGAATTATTATTTCGATTTTTTTGAATTAATATTATGATCAGCACTGAAAAACTGTTACTTAAATGAAATTACTAAAACTAAGGGTGCTTTCACACCTACACTTTAGCTTCGTAACCTGTCACGTTTGCCTAGGTAGCACGGTTTGTTTGGCATATGTGAAACCAGCAATCACGCTAGGATCCGCTGCAAATCAATTGCTCCGAGATCGCTTAAATGAGGTGGTCTTGGCTCGATTGAAACGAACTCTGGAGCGGATCGATTGCAGTGAGAAAGCGATACGATCCAAGCGCGGTTATATCACAGTGTTTTATGGATATGTAATAGGCATACGGCTATATGAAGAGAGAATTATGAGTAGGGCGAGAAGTTTCAGGGGTCTCCTGGATGCCCGCAAACAAGTGATAATCTCCCAGTAATCTCGCGTCTCGCTCCCGCTCCTCAAATACGTCACGCACCCTTCTCAGCCCTCCCCACCACATCTCTCTTTGCTCTTCAGACACGTCCCGCGCACCTTGTCAAACACCACCAAACCACAACCTCCCCTGACAGCTGAGCGGGACTCTGCAAAATAAACCCAGACACTGTCACACGTGACTTGATTTTGCTCTTTTGGTCCATTTAGAAACTTTGATCTGTGAAACTGAACCGCACCAAGAGCAAAGAGCAACAATGTAACAGTTTGAATCTCTGTTTCGGAACAACTGAATCGATTCACAGGTGTGAAAGCACCCTAAAACTAAGTTCATGTTTGGCCTATTGTAGATTTGACTGTAGCTCTGTGACCCGCCTGTCTGACTCCAAACACTAGTCAAGGCAAATAAACTCATGACAGTCTTGCTCAGATGTCTTTACATTTACATTTACATTTAGTCATTTAGCAGACGCTTTTATCCAAAGTGACTTACAAATGAGGACAAGGAAGCAATTTACACAACTATAAGAGCAACAATGAATAAGTGCTATAGGCAAGTTTCAGGTCTGTATAGTCTAAGAAGGAAAGTATTAGTAATTTTTTATTTAAAAAATTTTTTTTTTTTTTTTTGGGTACAGTTAGTGTGATATCCAGAGAGGCAATTGCAGATTAGGAAGTGAAGTGGAGACTAAATAGTTGAGTTTTTAGTCGTTTCTTGAAAATAGCGAGTGACTCTGCTGTTCTGATGCAGTTAGGGAGTTCATTCCACCAACTGGGCAGATTGAGCGTGAGCGAAAGTGATTTCTTCCCTCTTTGGGATGGAACCACGAGGCGACGTTCATTCACAGAACGCAAGTTTCTGGAGGGCACATAGATCTGCAGAAGTGAGAGCAGATAAGAAGGAGCAAGGCCAGAAGTCGCTTTGTAGGCAAACATCAGAGCTTTGAATTTGATGCGAGCAGCAACTGGCAGCCAGTGCAAACGGACTAGCAGCGGAGTGACATGTGCTCGTTCTTTAAGCAGAAATGGGCAAACTTGATCATCAAGGGCCGGTGTCTTGCTTCAAACACACCTTAACACACTAATCAGTGTCTTCAAGATCACTAGAAAGCTTCAGGCATGTGTGTCTGATTAGGGTTGGAGCAAAACTATGCAGGACACCGGCCCTCCAGGATCAAGTTTGCCCATCCCTGTTTTAAAGGGTTAATTCATCCAAAATTGAATATTCACTCGCTATTTACTCTCCCTCAAGGGGTTCCAAAGCTTTATATTTCTTAAAGTAGTTTATTTGTAGTCTGTTGGACTGAAGATATTTCGAAGAAAGCTGTAACAATCAACTTCCATTATAACAGATGGATACTAGAGCTGTGAACCTACACTAGTCTCACGGTTCGGTTCGGTTACGATTATCATGCCATCGATTCGGTTCAATTCGATATTTCGGTGCATTGACGATGCTTTCCATACACAGTTTTATATTTTCTTCACAGCAGCATTTCTTGTATTAAAATGTATGAATATATTTATATACTATTTGTAATACAATTTTGTCGTTTAATACAAACAGTCAGATATATAAACTGTAACTTTAAACAAAACGAGCATTAAGCAAATAATATAAACGAATATAAATATCCAGCTCAATTTCTGATCCTTGTCTAGTTCTCTTACACCCCTTTGATTGGTCACCCCCTCAAAAAAACGGTTGCGATTGGCTCTTGCGCGCTGCGCTCTTCACAGATGAGTGATACTGATAAGCGGCAGGCGGCAGGCGGCAGCGGCGATCTCACAACTGATGCATAATAGACACGGTGGAGAAAACTCTGCAGACACGCGCTCGTTTTTGTATGCAAAAGTAACGCTGTAAAACAGCCGAGAGGAGAAGAAAAGCCACGCCAGCAGGTCAATTGGGCCACTGTGTGTGTGTTAGAAAGAGAGAGACAGAGCGAGAGAGAGAGAGAGAGAGAGAGAAATGGAGTAGGCTACTTTCATTCTCTCGATCTCAGTGAAATAGGGGCTATTGTTGTATATGTCAGTGAAAGACTGATCCAGCAAACACACACAGTGAAATTGTGCACAGTTTATGAGTTTTAAGTAGTTAATGCGCTGTAAATACTCGCGATCGCCTCCCTCGCGACAGAGCGCATATGAGGTAAATGACGTCAGTAATAACCGGTTATGATTATTACTGAACCAATACCGAATTGTCCGCGTCTGCATCGCAGTGCACCGAAGAAACGATTGATTTTGACACCCCTAATGGATACTGTCAACGTTCCCAGCTTTCTTCAAATATCTTCTTTTTTGTTGAACAGAAGAAACAAACTCAAACAGTTATAAAGCAAGTGCAGGATGAGTAAATGATGGCGGAATGAAAAAAAAAGGTGAACAGTCACTTTAAGAGTTGCATTAGGATTAGAGTAGTGTCGCTGCATGTTAGCCTGCTGTCATTCTGCACATTATAACAGTGCGATGTGTGTGCTGTTTCGTGCAGAGATGGCGTGGGGTCTCTGTTGTACCGTGTGCTGGATTGTCCTGACAGAGCAGCTCTCGTACAGGTGGATGATAAAGGTCACCTGACCTCCGGCTCTATGACAGGAACCGCTTCTCTACAGATTAGCGCACAGGAAACTTTCGGCGTCAATCAAACCGTCATCATCGCTGTAAAGGTATGCTGCTTAGATTTTGTCAATGAAATTTTGTGGCCGTGTTTTGGCATTGTTCTGTTTCAGTCAAAATAGTTTGAGAGAGAGGAAATCAGTGACTAAACAGTGAATGTTAGCTTTAATTTTCACTGATTGTGTTTTGACTCCTTCACTGTCTACTTCTTGTAACGCACATTAGTGAATGACTAGTTTATAGTGAACTATAAATCTCATATAAATGCACATTTTTTAAATTTAAATCAATAGTAACATGAATCTTTATCTTTTATATTATTAAATCATCTTTTAGTTAAAAGCTATTTTGTGTAAATGCATGAACTTCACTTAATATAGCATTTAGGTAATTATTATTGCTAATAATTGTTTTTTTTTCTTCAGATATTTCACAAGTGATGTTTAAGGGATAATTTAATAGTTTTATTTACATTTATTACATTTATTAATATACAGAGGAAATCTGAATTATTAGCCCCCCTGTATATTTTTCCCCAATTTCTGTTTAACGGAAAGAAGCTTTTTCCAACACATTTCTAAACATAATAGTTTTAATAACTCATCTCTAATAACTGATTTATTTTATCTTTGCCATGATGACAGTAAATAATATTTGACGAGATATTTTTTTTAAGATACTAGAATTCAGCTTAAAGTGATATTTAAAGGCTTCGCTAGGTTAATTCGGCAAGTTAGGGTAATTAGGCAAATAATTGTATAACTGATTTGTTCTGTAGAATATTGCAATATTGCTTTAGGGGGCTAATAAAATTGACCTTAAAATGTTTTCAAGAAAATAAAAAAACTGCTTTTATTCAAGACAAAATAAAGCAAGTAATTATTTTTCCAGAAAAAAAAAAAATTCCAGGAAGTACTGTGAAAAATTCCTTGCTCTGTTAAACATAATTTGAGAAATATATGAAAAAGAAAAAAAAAATTCACAGGAGGATGAATAATTTTGATTTCAGTTGTATTAAAAAAACTATTATTTCATTTAAAAATGTAATTAAATAATATTATGTAGTAATACTAATTTTGATGATATATTTGATTGTTAAATCAACTTTATTTTCTGATTTCATTTTTGGCAAAGTTTTATTTCAGAATTGTAATTGCAGAACAATTCTAGGTTAGCAAGGGTGTTACATTCTGCTAACTCCTGATTGTTTATTATGACTCGCATATTCCTCTTTTGCTGTTAAAGTAGCTTTTAAAATCCAAATGAATGTTGTAATAATGTTAGAGTAAGCGCTCTGCCTCAGGGATGTCCAAACTCAGTCCTGCTGAGTTCAGCTCCAACTTGCTTCAACACACCTGACAGGAAGGCTGCGTCCGAAACCGCATACTTCCATACTATATATTACGCTAAAATCAGTATGCGAGCCGAGTAGTATGTCCGAATTCATAGAATTCGAAAATCAGTATGCAAAAAGTACCCGGATGACTTACTACTTCCGGCGAGTTTCTAGAGTGTGCATCCCATGCATGCTGCGCTATCCCATGATGCCCCGCGAGCGAATTCATGAATGGAAATAAAGCGACGCAACTGTAGGTCACGTGACCATGACAAAATGGCGGAAGTAGTACGTCCGAATTCCATTCATACTTTTCACGTTCATACTGTATAGAACGTACTAAGGGCCGAGTAGTACGTTTACATTCAAATGCAGTACCTACCGAGTAGGCGGTTTCGGATGCAGTCAAAGTTTCTAGTATACATAGTAAGAGCTTGATTAGCTGCTTCAGGTGTGTTTGATTAGGGTTGGAGCTAAACTCTCCAGGATACGGGCCCTCAAGGACGGAGTTTGGGCATCCCTGCTCTACCTTAAAGTCCTAATTCCAGCCCTTATGTTTTGTTTTTTAAGGTGGTGCCTGTATCGTATCTGCGCCTGAGCACTAGTCCAGTGATCTACACCTCTAACAGAGAAACTGTGTCCGCCATCCCACTGGGAGCCATTCTGACCTTCACCGTTCATTTCCACGACAGTACAGGAGAAACCCTGCACAGCCACAACTCCATGCTCAGCTTCTCCACCAACAGGTGCAGCAGATAAACACATCTACAGGAGAGAATACTCACACTTGTGTCTTTGAACACAGTTACATTAGACTAAGCTAGTATCATAAGCAAACTACACTGCTGACATTAGCTAGACAACACAACATATCATAAATCTGTCATAAACATGATATAGCGGATTAATGATCAAACCTAAGAAACTACTTAGCCGCATAGATTAGCATTACATTAAACTGTCTTAGGGTTGGTTTGGACATTAGCTGTCTTGAGACCGTAATAAGACCCATCTATTTTTGTACCCCTTCCCCTTGGCCCTTACAACCGAGGGTTGTAATCTGCTATATCATACGCAATCAGAGCCAATGTTTTGTAGAAGTTGTGTCGCCTAATAATTATATTAATTCTAATAAAATTAAAACTGAAATTAACAATTCATTGCATTTTTGGTTTGACAAAAAATATACGGAAACGAAAAAAAAATCAAAGGGTGGCTAGTGTGTGTTAATGTGTTTTAATATATATAAAAATATGCTTGGCCTATTTAAGCTTAACCACTTAAACTCTGCGTGACGTCATGGACTTTCACTTTAAGATTTAAAGGGCTAGCATTGCACCAGACCCCCTTAGGTCGTTTCGTTTGGAAGTGTAGAATCTATATTTTATGCACATATGCATCACTTTGGTTTTTATTCTGCTGTACAAAAGTTATTTACACTAAATACACAGTATTTTGGATACCTGAGCTGGGTATTGAACATTGGTTCATTTTCATATTTTTCATATGACACATGTACAAGTTATAGCTCAAATGAAAGCTCTTGCCGGTGCTCATACGGTTCTAGCGTTCTTTATACTGAATTATATTCACATATCAAACAGTTGTCGAATGAATCGCGGAGTTTCCATGGCGCAGAAATGAAAACAATACATTTATGATCAATAAGCAGCCCCAGATAGCACAGACAGTTGTCATCTCTTACCTTATGCTGTGTGCTTCAGGGCCATTCTCCTCGTTTTTGAGGTGATGTGCATAAGTAAACCTTTTATATGTCTGATGTGGTCCAAACACGGTGAATTATGTTTGATCAAACAAAAGAATAGTGAAATATCGAAACAATGATCGATCCCTGTGGCTTATACAGCACCTCTCATCAGTTGGAATACAATAACTTTTTCATAGATTATGGTGGAGACATTTTTCTTTTTTCCTATGATTACAGACATGTGCAGGAACCACCAACATTAATTACAGCACGTTAGACCACACAGAACCTAAAAGGTACACTGTCAAATTTGAGTTTATGAAAAAAAAATATACAAAAAGCGCCTCTTTTTTTTAGGATTTTATTATAACACAGACAACATATACAGATATTTTAAACACTTCAATAGTGTTTAATGAAAATTCAAAGGGTTTTCTTTAAAATGATACCACATTTTTGCATTTACACATTTGCATGTGGATTTGGGAAGCTTTTAAATTTGGGTAGGCAAAATCCAGGCGGAAATCCCAAAATAGCAGCAGAGTTTAACTGGTTAATGGCTATATACGCCACCAATAGGCAAGCCATTCAAAAAATATTGTTTTACTGTGTGCTGGTTTATTATGTATATTTCACAATAAAAACTAAATGCAGCATGTCTCGCTGTCATTTAAAACATGCAACTCATAACACCCCAGAGCTGTAGTCTATGCAGTGTGTACACTTACAGGGAGGTGTTGGTCAATAGTCATACTGCGCACCACGTTATTGAACTTCAATATCTCTGAGGGACATTGTCTTACCAGATAGCCAATATTAACTTTGCTTATGCAGCGCGTGTTGGCAATTCCAACGCATGTATAAGCTTTTTAAAAGCAGAGGAAAAGAGGAAACCCCCACCCCCACGGTGAATACCACATGTCGATTAACCGGTGGGGAAATTTCCTCATCGTCACAACCCTAACTACCACCTTAAAAAAACAATTCAATTATATCTGCATCAGGATGTTGAGGAATAAATGTGTGCATAGTCTTTTTTTGATACTATGATCAGTGTGTTTGAATAATATTAATCGTCTGTTGTGTGTGTGTGCAGGGATGATTTGGTGCAGGTCAGCAAGGGTTTGAGTAACGGCACGCTGACGATGAGGACGGTGAACGTGGGTCTGACTCTGCTGGGTGTTTGGGACTCGGAGCAGGCCGGACTCGCCGATTTTCTCGCACTGCCTGTCCAACATGCCATTCATCCAGCGCAAGCCCAGCGGCTGGTCGTGGGAGACGTTGTGTGTTTTTCTGCACAGTTCATCAATCAAGACGGTATGAGAACAAACAAACACCTGATCAATACTAGATAGCCATGTACACTAGGGGTGGGTGGGATGAACAAAATTACTAATTTCATTTAACAGTAACCATATTTTTCACAATAAAGATGTTTATTTTATATTGTTATTTCAGAAAATTAACAAAAAGTGTTTTTTAATGCAAAGAGGTACACAAATGACATGGAAAACCGAGAAAAACTAATGAAAGAGATAAAAAACAGTAAGGTGTATGTCAACTCTCTGTGTGCATGTAAAGGTAACTGAGTGGACTTATTAGATTGGTATTCTGTGGTAATGATATATACCTTCATTTCACCCAGACCTAGTACACACACACACACACACGTTTGTTTTTGTGAAAAGTGGGTACATTACATAGGTTTCTATTCATTTTATACTGTCCAAACCGTATATTGTATTGCCCTCATTCCACCCTACCCCTAAACCCAACCATCACAGGAGACGGTGTACAGCTTTACTCTATGATTAGACTCATTCTGTAGGATTAATAAGCATTTTGAGAAATGAGGACGTCACCAATGGTCTCATATTTCACCTCCTTTTTGTAATATCTGTGCCATACCTATGTCATTATACAGATTTGTGTCCTGATATGTCACAAAACACGTACACACACACACACACACACACACACACACACACACACACACACACACACACACACACACACACACACACACACACAGAGTTGTATTCCTGTGCATGAGTCCTGTGATGCGGTTGTAATGTGCAGGAGCGTTGGGTGTGTGGAGCTCTTCTTCCAGCGCTCTGCTTGAGGTTGAACCCAGGACTGGAGCAGCAGTAGCCAGGGACAAGGGCACGGTCACTGTTTATTATGAGATAGCAGGTCTACTGCGCACCTACCGAGAGGTAAGCATCTCATGTCACAATTTCAAGCCCTGTCTATAGTAATATCGAAGGGTACCTATTATGCCTCTTTTTTTTTTCCTTTTTTTTTTAACAAGACATAAAATAGATTTCTGATGTCCCTAGAGTGTGTATGTGTGAAGTTTCAGCTCAAAATAACCACGAATAATGTTTTATTAATAAACCACAAATAATAACTCTTTTAAACTGCACCTTTTAAGACTTTTATCCAAACTGTGCTATTTTGGTGACTGTCACTTTAAATTCAAATGAGATTGTGCTCTTTTCAAAATAGGGCGGAACTACAAATGCATATGTGTCAGCATAGTGGCAGATTCAAAAACAAGACTAAAGGCTGTTTCTCAATATGCGTTCTTCAGCGGTCTTGCGTCCTCGTGTTCTCGTGCAACGTCATCATCAGCTGCCTAAGTTCAGTTCCAATACTCAAGACCGCAAGTACGGAGGACGCGTGAAACTTCCCGGATGTGATCTTGATATCGAGGACGCACTGATGCAGACTTGAGCAGCGAACTCGCTCTGGAAGTCCCAGAAGTCGTTGCGACTGGAGGTGGGAAGCGCAGCATTTAATTTAGATTTATTATTAAAGTTCAGCGATATGAATTATTTACCTCAGGAGTTTCCCTAAATGAAACGGTGAAAGTAAACATTAACATGGACATCTTAATAAAGGAGTAAACACATTAAGGGTGTTTGTTTGCTGAAATTCGTATTGAAATCTGTTTTATTTATATTGTGCAGAGTATATTTATAATGTTTTTATGCAAAGTATATATTTTGAAAAGGGGAAAAACAATAAATCGTTGTATGAGTGCTGTAATGTTTAAATAATTTACCATTTAAAACACGTGAAGGTCATGTGACCATCAGGAAGAACGCAGCATCTCAATTCTCAAAGGACGCGTTCTCTGCCCTCGCGGTCTCCTGAGTTTGTTCTTCAGGAACACCTGGCAAGACCGCGCTCCACAAGAACGCAAGTCCGTTCTCTGCATTCTTGGAATTGAGAAACAACCTAAAGTCTTTTGCTAATGATGGAGAGATCATCACTAATGGGCGGGGCTTTCCCCCACTGATGACACGTACAAAGGGAGAATGTGAAAGTGTTTCAGTTTTTATCAAGTGTGATTATAAAAAAATAAAGTAGTACATTTTTACCATAAGAAGCGGGATATATTCGCACACAACTGTGTTTAAACCCCTTATAAAATGGATTTTTGAATAATAGGTCCTCTTTAAGTAATTTTGTAAGACTTTTAACTTTGTAAGGTAAATTATACAAATTTATAAAACATAAGCCAGTAACATAACGATTGACATTGACACCACTGAAGTGGTGGCCTTGATTATTAGACCTGTATGCAGCAGCTTTCTCTTTTATTATTGATCGTTTGTGCTAGTTTCCCAGGAGCTTTCTGTTTTTGAGCAGCTGGAATAGATGCAATGTGTTATTCAGAAATGATTTGTAATATTCAAGCTTTTGATTAAAACTCAAAATCTCAACTTTGGGTAGAAAGACATGACTAAGTACTTCAGTTTGAGGATATTTCAAATGAAATATTTAGAGAGGAAAACAACCATGAAAATGTTTGTGTAATCCCTGTTCAACTGCTGGTAAATGTTATTATAAATGTGTTTTAACATTGTGTGTTTTTCAGGTTTTAATTGAAGGTGCGTCTCGGACGTCTTCCATGACTCCTTCAGTGAAGAAAGAGCGAGATCTTAAAGTCTTGATGTCAACCAGAGAAGCAGGAAACAACCTCATCGGTACAGTACACTGCTTTAATTACAGTAGACAAACAAAAGTGTAACATTTCATTAAAATCTTTAGAAAAACGTGAAAATGCATGTATTTATCAAGTGGCAACCTCCCGCTCTCCCTCAGGAAGCCAATACGGAAGTAACTAAAACTGCAATTCCTCGAAATTCCGCTAGTCCTGGCCGCTCCTGGCTCCAAAATAGAGCAAATTTCAGTTGAGCCCACTGTTAGAATGACCAACTTTACAGCAGAAAAAAAGGTGTTTACAGCCTGGTACAAAAAAAGATTTTGGTTAATACAGGTAATATTACCCTTCATGACAACTGTGAGGGGGTGAATTTTTTTATAACTCATCCGTTTCCTTTATATTAAGTTATATTAAGTTTGCATTGTTTGATTGACAGCTAGGTCTTGTTGGTCGCCGTCACGTCACCTCAGCTGAATCCTGCAGATTAGCCACTGAACTCGGCATATTTATCGTATTTCTGTGTTGTTTTATGTGGCTTTACACAGTCAGTTGCCTTTTGGACTTGTTTCCTACAATTATTAGATGGCATGGCATGCTGAGTGCACTTAATTGTGCTCACAAACCATTCACGTGGCCTCCGTTTCCCATGTGAGTAAAGTTATATACTTATATACCATCTCTATACATGTATTTGGTTTATTTAAGATAATATTTATTATTTAGAGCTGTAATGCACTCCAGAATCTGTCAGATTGATTAGCTGTAGGCTCTAGAACAGTCATCTGAAGCGTTGTCATACAGTGTTATGCTGGATTTCATCAATAGTCTTACAGTAACTAACACAGACTGTATCTGAAGTGTTTGGAAGTAATTTGTGTTTTCCTCCTGTTGAAAAACGTCATAAGAACAATGTTTAGTGGCTCAATGTATTACAGCAGTGTTTTTAAAAGTCTAAACACTTTATTGATATAGTGTACAACAAAGCACAAGTGGTCAGAACACAAACGAGTCACAGGTGATGAAGTATTAAGCGTTTCTCCCAAAGTAAAGTGTGTCTGAACCAGGTCCAAGCGACATGCCAGCAGGTGTCTGTAGCTCCGCCCTTGCCCTTGTTTGGTATCCCGCCGTCGGTGTGATGACGCGCAAACAAAATGCCGACAAAAATGGGGATGGTTGGCCGCGCCTACTTGTGGCTTCTTTTGCGTTCTTTAGAAACCTATGGGTGACGTCACGGATACTACGTCCATATATTTTACAGTCTATGGTATTTACACTATATTTAGATTTAAAATACCTGCATTTATTTACAGCTGTTAATTTTGTAAATACATCTGCATTTACACTGTTGACCTACACACACCCCTTAACCAATATTTACACCTTGCTATTTTTTGTGACTTTTTGCATGGCTCCACATCTGGGAGAATTTGCATGTGCAACACATTTAGAAATCCAAAACCACTGCCTAATGTGAAGTCCTTGAGGTTTCTTTTGAAGCTTTTAGGGAAAACATATCATATATTTGGTGCGCAGGTTGTCCAATGCTAATGTTTATTTTTATTTCTTTGTTTGAAAGGTATAGAAAGGTTATAGAAAGGCATTAATTAAGCAGTTCGCTTGGACATACAGTAGAGGAAATAAGTATTGAACATGTGACCATTTTTTTTCCAGAAAACATATTCCAAAATGTGTCGTTGACTTGAAATTTTCACCTGATGTTAGTAACAACCAAAGAAATGCATATATGGAAAGAAAATAAAATATTCAAATGTCGCTCTGTGGTGCAACAGAAATATGAACAGTGTCCTGAGTCGTGGCTGGGTGATGTAAACAGCCGCTGACTTGCAAATTCTAAAGTGCATGGCGCTGCATGGCACGACGATGTGCATCGCTTCTGGTGTGCGACCTGCTTTACCTTCTTATCGCAGCACCAGTGGCACCGAAATTAGGCACTGAAATTCATATGCTGATTCGGTCCGGTGCACACCAGTTCCAAAGGTACTGGTGACATAATGGCAACAGGTTTCGGCAACCAGCCCTATTTAACACGCAGTTTTCTGGTGTCCACAGGAAGCTGCTCTTCCTCCCAGCTGGACAGCATTGCTCTGCTCCACCCAGAGTCCTCCATCAGCTGCCAGCTCCAGTTTACCAGCAGCGCTGTGGATTTCTCCGCTCACGACGTCTACCACACACACACTGCATTCGACGCCAGCACAGGTCTGTTAGATCACACATCCTGGAGATGCTGAACTGTAAACTTTTGAGCTGAAATGTATTTTGTTTCTATTAATGTCCTCAGATGTACAGTTAATAATTCGGCTCTTTGTTCAATTCAACTGACAGTTGTTGTTGTTGTTGTACAGTTTATTTTATAGCACTTGCAGAACTTGAATTATGTACAATAATAAGAAAAGAAAACCAGAAATAATAAATAAGCATGATTACAGACGAGCTGGGTAAAGCACAACATCACAGTGATTTTGCACAAGTTAAAATGTGCTGTGTTAATTAATAGTGATATTTAAATAATATTTATTTTCAGAATGAACCATCAAACAATGCTGGGTAACACTTTATTTTGATGGTCCATTTGAGTATTAGTAGACTGTCTGCTTAATATCTGTTGATACTGCTGCTTCAACAGACTTTTAACTGACTATAAGAAACTTTGCAAGTACATGTCAACTTACACTAACTAACACCAACCCTAACTCCGACATAACAGTCTACTTATAATCTAATGAGAATTGTTTGGCATGTAGATGCAGTGTAACTTAATTCAACAAACAGACCATCAAAATAAAGTGTGACCCAATGCTGCACACTCTCAACACTTCATCAAAGTTGTATTAAATAAAATTCTTACATTTATTAAAACTACGAGTTAGTATTTACATTATTTATTGACATCAATATTTTTTTTCCTACGCATCTATCGAATCCAGAATTTTCATATGTAACTCACAGGCTGCATAAAAAGTAAATAATTGCATAATTTAAATGACTTTTCTATTTACTTTGTCTTAAAAGTCATTGAATTACTCAATAGAAATTTAAAGAGCCCCCATTTTGCATTATAAATAGTCATATTTTGGTTTTGGGGGTCTCCTACAACAGGCTGATATGCGTGTCTTATAATATGCATTTATTTTTTATATAATTATCCAAATGACTCCCATATGATTAGTTCAGCGACTCATTTGTTCCCAAACCCCTCCTTAGCACGAAGCTTATCCGCGCTGATTGGTCCGATGACCCAGTCTGTTGTGATTGGTTGATTGGGTTCAGCGCGAGACAGAGGGAAATGCCCACTACGGCTATGAAGTAGCAGAAAGTATGTGAGAGTCCAATGCAGGAATGCAATAAAGCAATGCAGTTAAGCACCAGCATATACTCTACTCTTAACCCTAACCTCAAGTAATAACGACACGCATTCAGTATTAATCCACACTGTGCCAATAGTTACTATTTTGTTAACTATTTAACTAACTAACTAATTAGTTAACTATTTTGAAAACTGACTACACCGCGCATGTGAGGAACAGCTGATGGTGGCCATAGCAAAGGCAAACAGCAGAGAATTGGCAGTTCAGAAACGCATTTAAATCAGTAAAAGAAGACGCATGCATCGTGTTTTCAATGTAGTTTTGGACGTGATATGTGAACAGCCCATAAAGATTTAACCTGAGAGATACAGTACAAGCACTGATCTATAATAGATACGTGATTACAAACCGCGTGGGGCGATTACAACCTATAACACACAATAAAACACATATTTCACAAACTACACAAAACAAGGCAACAATTTTAATGACACTTCCATGTTATGATCCTGAGGAGGAAGAAACTAGTCCATTTCAATTGTAACAGTTACTGACAAAGTCCCTGTCAAAGTCTGACAAAGTCCCATAGTACTTAGAGAAAAACCTGCCGTCTTTCTCTCCTGTGAATGCTAGGTTACTACAGCTGTGCGCTGAGCTTTAAGCCCATGAGTGAGCAGCAGGTGAAGGTGTTGAGCATGTCCATGACTGAGGTGGAGGTGACGGCCGCCGTACAGGGAGCTCACTTCATTGGAGAGCAGATCAGCGCTCGACTGCCCGTCAATCCGGGGATCTACGCTGATCAGACGGACATCATCCTGAGTAACCAGCACACGTCTGCGGATCTCACCATATACGGGTCCACAGCCGCTCTTCAGCAGCTAGAAGTAATGATCTTGTCTTTGTCTCTCTTTGTGTGTCTGAAAAATGAAATTGGCCAGATTGCAAACAATAGAGTCATATAAAATTATGCAGACACCATATATATTAGTGCTTCCTAGGGTTATGCTGTGTTCACACCAGACACGGAATGCGCAGATAAATCGCGCTATTCGCGCGTTAATAGCCGTGTGAACATTTGAGTTTACCCGCTTCATTCGCGTGTCAAATTTACTTCAGAACAGACGCGGATTCGCGTGATGGGCAAAGCTTCTGTCTTCCCGGTGACTGTTGCTTCGTTGCTAAAAGGCTAACATGGATTTTATGAAGAAAATAACAGTGTTTATTTGCTTTATGAAGACTGAAAAACCGTGTCGATACGTTTAGGGCCGTGTCTGAGTCTACTACATCCTTTCAGAGGTGCATCCAGCTCTGTGAGCTCATAAACTCCTCCAGAAACTGAACCTGGATGATGGAGGCTTCTGACTGAGCCGAGTTTGATGAACTGTTGTCGGTGTCGCCTGGAGGCTTTCCCCCGGAACACCGACAACAGGTTCTACGTCACAATCATGCCCCCACAAGAGCAAGCTTCTGATTGGTTAATGCGGCGCAAATGTCCGCTGAAGTTCAGATTTTCGAATTCGAGAGATTCGCGCGAAACGCTCGTTAAGCTCGTCAAACGTGCAAAACGCTCAATTCGCCCCCGCACCTTTCGCGCAATTTGCGTCATTCGCGCTGCGCCATTCGCGCGTATCGCACCGCAGGATGTCTATTCGCGCGTTTGCATTGACTTAACATGTAAATCACTCGCGCTTGACGTGCGTTCCGCGTCTGGTGTGAACGCAGCTTATAATGCGAAACAACGAGATGGACCATGGCATCGTCGTCACAGGCGGAGGTAAATTAATTATTTATGCGTAATTAATTCATAACGAATTAATTATTTGTAGCCTACCGTTTCATCTACCTGACCCGCATGGTCTTTATTTTACCCATAATCAAATCATAAATAAATAAAGATAAGCTACACACAAATTACCACATGTCCAGTAATGTTGGTTGTACACCAGTAAAAAAAGGTGCACAACCAACAGTATCTGATGTTTTCACTAAAATCACTAAGTGCAAGCGAAAGTTTGAAGCAGTGTTCTGACATTGTGACAGGTTACCTGATAGATTCAAAAGACCGAAGAGTCATTAGAAAGAGACAAGAGTAATTAAATATCATGTTTAACAACTATAGAGAGACGCAATCCAGCAGTACATCCTTGAACTGTCCGATGTGTGTGTGGTCACGTGATGTGCATTTTCAGTGGACATAGGGCTGTTCAGAAATGCTAGGTAAAACATGGTGTGGTTGTGTTACTTGATGTTTAGGTGAAGAGCAGTTCTCCTGTGATTGCGATCGAAGAGAAGGAGGTTTCTCTGAGCTTCCCGAGCTACGCCAGATACACAGTTCGAGTAGTGAACCCTCAGGGAGCGCTGACCGCCTCAGTGTCTGTAAGCAGCTCATCCAGTGATCAGGTGCTGCTCATCCCAGTGTCTGTCATGCATCTAACCGCCAGCAGCACTTCTGTGCAAGGTTTGTGCCTTTATAATCGCTAAAGTACACTTAATCATTTAGCAGAATTTTTTGTTGAGATGAAAGAGTGTTTTCAACAGGTGGTTTGTCAAGCCCACTCACCAGCATGAGGCACACTCAGAATTGCAGAATGTTTTGAGGTTTTCCAGTGTGCTGTCGGTTTAGACTACAGGGTTTACATTGGTTTAGACCAGTGTTTCTCGACCACGTTCCTGGAGGCCCACCAGCCCTGCACATTTTCCATGTCTCCTTAACCAAACACACCTGACTCAGATCATCAGCTCATTAGCAGAGGCTGAAAGACCTGTAATGGGTGTGACAGACAAAGGAGACATCTAAAACATGCAGTGTTGGTGGTGCTCCAGGAACATGGTTGAGAAACACTTTAGACTACATCGGCACCAAACTGACTGACTAAAATAATAGTTTCAAGCAATAATTGTTACTGGCACAACCATGTTTTAATAAAAACACACTGTTTTCCCTACATAAAAATCCAGCTTAAACCAGCCTAGGCTGGTTTAAGCTGGATTTTTCAGCAGGGTTACTTTAATTATCGCTTTGCTACTTTAATTATTAACAATATTGCTAATATTATTACTATTTGTTATTATTATTATTATCGCTTGACTTACCTATGTAGTATATATTACTTCATACACTGTATCCATACATTTATATGCTCCCATTGTGCTATATATATATATATATATATGTATATATATATATATATATATATATATATGTATATATATATATATATATATATACACACACACACACACACACACACACTGCTGTTCCATTTGAAGAAGTACACCCCTTGTGTC